TGAGGCAGCGCGGAGCTGTGGGCAATGTGCGCGTGGTCAGACAAGGCTGAACGTGCTGTCACTCGCCAGAAAGGTCCTCGCTGGGGCAGCAGCGCCCACATTGGCCAGGAACAGCCTGCCTGGAGGAGCAACTCTCTTATTATCACCAAGAACAGAGAGAGCGGGCGCTGTGATCGACCTAGATAAGGAACGAGCTCCCAGTTTCTGCGAAATTCTCTTTCAGTATGAACCTCGACAAACGCGCTTTCTCCTTGTTCAAACATTCTTTTAGATTCATTATGCTACAAAGCCTCCTTGTCAACCACCCCTTCTCTCCCGTTTCCTGCAGTCTGCAGTTTTCACACTGAGAAAGATGAATAACCACAGTGAAACTAATTCCGAGGGTGGCTTAGGGAAAATCCTTAAATTGAAGGGTTAGAGAAGCAAGAAATGGAAGAACTCAAAGAAATCCAAAGGGGATTAAATTTTTTTTAATGTATTCTGCCAAGTAAACACAGTCTTTCCTCATTTTTCAAAAAAGAAAAAGTTTAAAACGAAAAGAAGAACAAAAAGGTTTCCAGTTTTGTTTTTTTTTTAAGAACCCGAGGGCCAGAAAAGCATAGTGCTACTGATACAGGGTGCAGCCAAGGACCCCCCCTGCCCCCCCAAAAAAGCTTTGGAATGGTGTCCAGAATTCAAAGTGTATAGGAATATTGGAGAGACATATAAGATGTCCTCCCCCCGCCCCCCAGGGGGAAAGGGACAAATAGAGCCAGGGCCATTGAGAGCTGTTTTGCATAGCAACAGTTTTGCAGCTAACCTCTGGAATGATTATTTAACATATCTATAACCTTTAACTGGTTTCATAGATATGTTAAATAGCTGCGGCCAAGTTTTGAGCCAGGAAGAAGGGAGTGGCTTCTACCCAGGATGTAACTGGGGGCTGGTCCCCTGAGTTACAGCGCCTGTGTGAGAACTTGGAGTTGATTGGCTCCAGGACATGGGGTAATACCTGCCCCGACTAATGATGGCAGCCCAGTAAAGCTGGGAGGGTATGAGAGTCCTGGCAGGTGTAACTGATTGTAGGAGGAGTTGGAAATGGAGTCGCAAAGGAGGATGGGTGCGGACATTTAAACCGAGACGCGGCAGCCGTGAGAGAAGAGAATCCTGCGGTTTGGGGGCAGAGTGAGCACCTCTGCAGTCATGTAGGAGGGGAGCCAGACAGTTTCAGCAGAGTAAGGATCCCCTCTTGGCGAGGTGGGGAGAAAGACACATGCTTTTGGTGGAGTGCGGACCCCTGCAGCTTTGGTAGAAGAGGCCCGTGCAGCTTTTGGGTGCCCCCTTTGGCCGCGTGGCCTGGAAAGCAGGAGACTTTGACTGGAACTGGGTACAAAGAACTGTTGCCAGTGTACCGTGAGAGGGTACCACAGTACTTTGGATCAACTAGAGAGAGATCCTGCCTGCATGGTGATACAGCTGATGGTGCCAGTGGCCTGAAAAACAGACGTGTGCTCTTTTCCTGATTTACGGTACCCGGAGTTGGGACAGTGGGAGAAGGGAGAGCTGTGTGGGTGTAAGTGTGCACCCTAAAGGACTTTGATATTTTAGTGGAGGCATTAAGCCTAAATAGCATTAAACGAATGTTTCCTTTTCACAAATCTCTGGCATTGAGAGATGTCTTTCCAATTGGTGGTGGACAGAAGAGCCCAGTAGATACTATTATTTTGTCCTTGGGAGGGGCCCCTGTTCTGTAGCAGTTTTCGGCTTTCCTAGGTGGGCAAAATATTACCCCCCCTTTTGGACCTCTTGTTCGGTAACACTACAGTTCGCCCGCCTCCCTGGTCAGCACTGGCAACACAGCTGAGAATACCTGGGAATGCAAATGAGCCGCAAAGAATGACACCAGTTAAACCAGGTGAAAAGAAAGAACCACAGTAACACCTGGCTTGTGTAGCCCTTTCTTAGTGCACAGAGCATCTTCACATATAGTATCTCATGAGATTCTAAGAGAAACATAATGTAGGCAGAACAACTATTAATAGTCCCGCCTTACCCACGAGACAGTGGGCATGCAGAGACCTTAAGTGACCTGTGTGGGCCCCTCCCCCAGCAGGGCGGGGGCTGGGCCGGTTTCCGTTCTGCGCCTGGGCAGGTGCACATGGCCAGCAAACACAGGGGGAAGACTTAGTGCTAATAATTAAATGCCAGCGTGGGTCTTCACCCCAAAAGACACACAAATGAACATGTAAGTGTTTAGTTTTCTGTTATCATTACTGTTACAAGGACAGGTATTCTGTAAGAAATATCAAAGAACTGATGAAAGAAATAGAAACTTAAAAAGCACAAAAGCTTTGTAGCTTGACCTTAAGTTGGTTATTCTTAGACTAGAAGCGAGGGGAATACAGCAGGTAATATATAGACCTTTGAAAATTAAACTAAACATCTGGTTTCATTATGTGCTATTTCGAAACAACCGAACAGGAAAGGAAAGACGAACAATGTTATAGAAACCGGTAGCGGACACGTGAGAAAGTGGTCTAAATTTATATCGTCAACAAACGTGACTCAAGGAGACATAATCACAGCCTATAAATATCTCCCAAGCAACAATATACGTGGTGAATAAAGTAAGTGAATTATGCATAACCTTAGGTCCAGGTCACTTCTCTTTGTCCAGTTGTCTATGGAAGGCAGCGCTTCACACCTGAGCTGCAGCCGCCCCCAGGAATTAAGACAGTCAAGGAGACCTTAAGGCTGGGGGCTGCCAGAGACACCCAGGTGCTGGGTTAAAAAGAGAACCACGGGGAAGGGCTTCTTGTGCTCTCCAACACCGAGAATTACATGGTGATCTAGTCACATCTTTCACTCGAGTATTTATATTTCTCCCTTACCTTTGAAGAGGAGCGATAAAGAATAGAACCAAATCCAAAAAAGCTGTCAGTTACTGCACTCCTTGATTGAAAAAGAAAACAGACCATGAACAATCTAGTACGAGACGGTACAAAGTGCTCTGCTTTGACATCAGGAGACAGCATGGCACCAAAACTCATGAAAAGCAGACGAATTTGCAAAGTCAAAGACCCTGGATCAGGGTTCCGATCTCCAAGCTGTCCAGAGCCTGCTGTGCTCCAGGGTCCTCATGGCCGCAAGGTGATCGTGATTGTCTTACCTTGTAAATCACAGTCCAGGCACTAAAGCATTTTTAAAACTACTGAGAGCTTCCCACAGGCAAGTTATTACTAATTATAACCATTACTAGGACTCTGTCAGATGCTATGCTTCAAAAACACCACTTTCCCCAGATCTTTTTTTTTTTACATGATGGTTTTTCCCCATTTAAAATTTCCTAGATTTTCTGACTCAGTCTCATAAGCTCTTTAAACTGCCAGTCATTTCAAAAGACCTGTCTGGTCCCAGCGCTGGCAGCAGCCTAAATAAACTGTTGGAGTTGCAGCAGAAACGACCCTGGGCAGACCCCTGCAGTGTGAAATAGCCCTGGCAGAGTGACCTTGAAAACATCAGGAGCCTTCTAACCACAACGTGCTCAATTCATCCACAGACCAATCCAAATCCCAGCAATTTTTTTCCATTGTCTTTCCAATGACAATTTTTCTAGCCTTGTAGAGAACCTACCTGCATTTTGTTTGAGACCATTTTTTTTATTGCTTTTAGAGAGGAAGACAGCAACATTGATGTGAGAGAAATATCGATTGGCCCCCTCCTGTACATTCTGGGGACGCGAATCAAACCTGAAACCTGGGTAAGTGCCCTGACCTGGAATTGAACCCCCAACGTTTTTCTCATGGGAGGACGCTCCAACCAACTGAATGACGCATTCATTTCTTATGCAGGGAGAGAGGTTGGAATCTTTGACAATCATATATTTTGTCCCTAAATGGGCAATGGTTCCTCATTAACATGACAAAGACTCAGAGTTGTGCCTCAAGCTCGCTGGCATCTTATGTAGATGAGATGTTCATAGCACCATTTACTGCATTGCTTGGATTCTAAAGGCTGCTTGCAAGGACCAGGGTCTGCCAGCCATGAACTGATCCCTGAAGTCGGGACAGGTAGTGCTCAGAGGAGAGTGGAGAGTGTCCAGCTGAAAAACACAAATATTTTCTAAGGGACTCTTTGGGGTTTGATTTTGAGCTCATAGCAATGGCAGTCTAGTGCTTCTCCGATGGTCTTCTCCCCGGTACATACCCCAGGAGCATTTCAACTGAAACTGTCTTTGTGATATAATATCACCCCCAGGAAGTGACAGACTTTTGCTTCTTACTACAATGAAAAAATCGAATAGACTTTGAAACAATACCTATACATGCATGCACACATAATATGTGAAAGCTTTTGGAATTTTCTCCATTACAACTGCGAAGTTTATTTGAAAACCACAAATCAGGATGCAGGTGTTGTCTGGGCTGACAGGCTATGAGGAGAAATTAGCAGAGCTTCAGCTCCTACTAAATGCATTCCTGAGTTGGAATTTGCCAGACCCGCAATATTAACATAGAATTATGGAAATTGGAAACAAAAAGCTGGAGTCTACTGGGAATGACAGGCTCGAGATGAACTCAGCTGGAAAATTTGGCTAACTGAAAGTGACATCCTTTGTGCTGGAATTTTTCTATCTGAAAGCTTTAAAGAGGCTGTAATTATTTTGAGTTTTCAATTCAGTCCTTTCAGAATAAGCCTTTTATTTTCTTCATTTCTCTGTACCTTTCTTCCGCGTGAATGCAGGTGCTTGCCAAGCGCTGAAGTGGTAAATTCAAACTGGTTTTATACATATATCTATTTTCAGGGAATGGAAAGCAACGCGACTTTTGCATCTTCTATGCCAGGAAAAACAAAGGAGTATTTGTACATCAAAAGCTTTATATTGTGCACAGGCTCAAAATTCCTGAGCCTAAATAAATCACCTAATGAGAAACGGCTGATTAAGGCCAATGCATCATTTCTTGCCCCATTAGTACTTTTTCTGTACCATGAATCCAAGAAATGCAAGAACTTAGACTTACCTTGTAGCTTTTGGGTCCCAAATCACAATGTCAGCATCTGATCCTACAGCTATTTTTCCTTTTCTTGGATAGAGATTAAAGATTTTAGCTGCGTTTGTGCTGGTAACGGCCACAAATCGGTTTTCATCCATTTTACCACTGTGCTGCAAAACCATTCAAGGAAGAAAATACATTTGTGCTCATGATCAATATTTTAAAACCTGTCAATCAAAGTACAAAATGCATATCTCTGAGAACCACATAGAACTGCATCTAATTTCTTTTTTAAAAAGTTTTTATCCTCATGCAAGGATATGCTCACTGATTTTAGAGAGAGGGCAAGGGAGGAAGAGAGGAGGAGAAACATTAGTGCCAGAGAGAAACATTGATTGATTGCCTCTTTTCAAAAATATTCACTTAAAAAAATGTGCACTATTTCTTCATCCTTCCCAGAATCACATAGACAACTGCTAAATGGCAGCAATGGTATTTCCAATTCTCCTTTACAGTTTACCACCACCACCTACTACACTTACGATGCGGCTTATTCACTGCAGACCCAAGATGCACGAGCGATCGTGCAGACATTAGACAGAACACTATGGAGTTGAGGAAAGATAGACGCTTAAATCAGGTGGCAGCACTTTTTGAAAGAGAAAGAATCAGCTCAAGAGTTTGCATTTTGTGAAATTAACTTTACATGATTTGACAATCATGAACAGTCTAGCACAAGAGATTTTAAATGGGCAGACACTGGAGGGCTGTGATGCCACTAAAATTATTATTATTTTTTTGATGTTGGGAGTTTATCTCTACAAACATGTACATGGTAAAAGCATCCTTAAGGTTTATTTCATTATCCAAGCATCCTTATTTAAAACAAAATTAAGGACTGTGTTCTGAAACTAGTATTCCCATAGGTATATCATCTTAAGTTTCAGAAGATAACACGGGCCCTGGCTCAGTGGAGTGAGTGCCAGCTTATAAACTGAAAGGTCGCTGGTTTGATTCCTGGTCAGGGCATGTGCCTGGGCTGCAGGGCCAGGTCTCCAGTTGGGGGCATGTGAGAGGCAACCAGTTCAGGGGGGTCCAAACTTTTGTCATCTCTGCACCACACTGGAAAAAGAAGAGTTGCCTTGGGCCACACGTTAAATACATTGTGACATGTAGTCACAAAAAAAATTATAATGTTTTAAGTAAATTTACGATTTTGTGTTGGGCTGCCTTCACAGCCATCCTGGGCTGCAGGTTGGACACCCTGCCAGATGGATGCTTCTCCTGCACATCGATGTTTCTCTCCCTCTCTTTCTTTTTCCCTTCCCCTCTATAAATACATAAATAAATAACTAAATAAATAAACGAATAAATAAATAAAATCTTAAAAAATTTATTTAAAAACAAAAGAAACAAGGGAATAACATTGATTTTTGTATGTTATTAAGACCTATTTAATTACTTTAAAGAAGTTTACATACTCAGGAAATGCAAGAGATTATGAAAATCTGTGGTAATGAAGATATTCATCATAATAACACAAGTTTGAAGGGAAAGGATGGACTGTTACCAAGAAAATCTGAGAAGAGAGAGAAGAGAAGTCATCTGGGTTGGTTAGAGCTTGGGTAGAGGACAAGGGGTGAAGAGAATTATTACTAGAAGACAGCTATAGAGATGTTTTAAAGATTATATATATATTGTTGTTGTTGTTGTTCAAACACCACCCTATAAGTGAGTAATGGAGAAAACGAAAGGGTTTAGGGAGGACAGCGGCATGAGCACACCTCCATTTCTGAAAGGTGACTCTGGTCCAGGGGCAGAGACTAGATCGCAGCAAGAAAGACTCGAGGCCAGGGCACCAGCCGCAGACAGGACTGCAGTTGTCCACACGACAGATGGGCCTCGGGCAGAGTGGCAGACATGGAGATGGAAATGAGGAGGCATTGTGGAAATAAAATTGACAATAGCCGGATCTGGATATTGACAATAACTGGATCTGGGTTAGAAGTACATGGTATGTGTAGGGGATTCTGAGAAATGAGACGTGATTAACGTGTCACCTAAGGGGGGGGGGTTGCTACGAGATGGGTGCAAACAGTGTGGTAACGGGGCCTCTCCGGTCTCACGGGAAGATGTCTCCTGCTAACCTTTACAATTACTCAGGTCAACCAGCCAGACCGGTTAATGTATGAATGTTTAGCTATTTGATTCTTCTCCGTCCTTAGGAAGAAATTTTTAAATCATGAGACTTTTAAAAATCTTTTTTTAGACTTTAAATTTTTACTTATGTGCCCTCATACAACTGTTTTAAAAATAGGACATCTAAGGGTTCTTAAAAAGGGACATCTACAAATATTTCATTAAAAAGGGGTTAAAACGGAATAAAATTCCTTCATGTATTTTCAATCATTCCAAGACTTTATATCAATGACACACAAGGGGCTGGGATTCAAGAACATAAGAGACCAAAGGCTTCAGGAGTCTACACTGACACCCAGTCTGAAGTTGTCTCCTAATGTGTGTGGAATGGTGCAATGCGTCCTCCAAACCAAACCACGCAGAAAAGACAATTATGTCTTAGTATTGTCCTGGGGCATGGGGCGGTGGTGATGATGGTGTGGAGTCCCAGTCTCCACCACAGTAAAAGCCACCAAAAAGCTTCTCTATGAAGGTTTAAGGCACACTTATCCTTAACAGACTGGATCAAAGAGGTAGGCAGAGCAGGCTGGATCTTGCGAAACTCACCACGCCTTTTTCCCATATTACTGACATCCGGTCCTCGACACCATTCACCCCATTAGGAATCTTAGTAAAATCATCTTTCCCAAGAGCTTTCTGGCAGGTGTTGAAGGTGCAGTTGTCCGTCCCCGTGGTGGTTAGATCACCACTGTAAAAGAAAAACACACCAGAGGGATGGGAGGGAGTGAGCAGGCAGAGTGGGTTGGGAGGATGCTACCGTAACTTTCCTTAATCTCCCGACTCCCATCTCAGCTAAGGGCAGGAAACTGCAGTGGGAAAGGAGCAGCTTTTTCAAGGACACATTTCACCCGCCCCCATCCCTAGTCTAGGAGGCGCTTTTGGAGGACACTCACACGAAGCGTGATGATACATTCTAGGCTCACTTTCATTACTTATGGGTTCTGTGATTACAAGCTTGTTCGATGTTCAATTTCTCATCTAGAAATTGATAATTATATGTACTTGATAACAGTTATGTCAGGGTCCCAGGCAATAATTCAAGTGAAAATTCCTTGTGAGTAGAGCGCTATACGGAGGCATGCCGTGGTGATCCACATGAACAGAGACAAGGCCTCCAGGGCAGCCCCTGGCCAGCTGGGAACCCTGAGGGCAGCAGAGACATGACCTTGGCTGAGGATGTTGATGTCACTGGTGACAGGAATCCTGCTTTGACTTCTGAATAATCTTGAGGATGTAGGAGTGTGAAGGAAGGAGGAAGGAGGAAAGGGCAAGTGAACTCTTGTATAGTCTGTTCTGAAAAACTCTTTGTTAACGTGGGTATGGGAGTCTGTGAATGGGGAGTGATAGGATGTCCATGAATGGTGTAATTCTAAAAAAAAATGATCATAATATCCCAGTCAGTAATGTCTCTGAAAATAGTTTGGATGGCCTTTTGTGGGGACAAATTACTTAAGGGTAGGATTTCACCTTCCCCCCCTGCAATGACGCTGCCCTCCATTACAACCTCATATACCTGGACAACAGGTGCTTCTGGCTCCCAGGTTATATCAGCACAGGAAAAAAGTCAAGAACATTCTGAACAATAGAAATAAAGTGTAGTGATGAGACCTGATTGTAGGCAACAAGAGATGGGAAAGACCAGGAAAAAAAACCAGGAAAGAGTAAAGTTTCAGCAAAAAGAATTTGATTTCTTTAGCTCCAGGAGAGATTTTTGAGAATATATCATAAGATAATGAAGCCAATGCTTGTAGGTCTCCACATGAGGGACAGGGTCCAGCGCCTGTCAGGGCAAGGAGAGCAGAATACTGAGAAGTCAACAGAAGGTGATGGTAAGACAAGGTCTCCTGCACTCAAACTCGAGGCTCAGAAAGCACCTTATTTTGGCAAAACACTTCATGATCATCTGCTGAATGATTACTTAGCCAACAGATTCATGAGGTAGTCAGGAGTCGAAGGGTCCGGTCTCAGGGGCGGTCCCATGACGTGGTGGGCTGCATGGCGCCAGTCTCTGCTCCAGTAGTGCGTGCCGTCGGTGCCCAGGCTCGCAGCGATGGGCTCTCCGTAGACCACCTGCCCTGGGAAGTTCGGAGGAAGAGCTCAGCGCCTTAGTTTGCCCTTAAAATGTAGAACCATTTGACACACACATAAATACTGGTCTTTTCTGTCTTTGTAAATGACAATAAGAATCCTAAACCCTTTGTGAGTAGGATTTAAAAACAAAAACTACCCTTTTACTAAGTTCCAGTGTGCATTGCGTGTTAGGGTAGATGATTGTCCCCACTCACTGAGACCAGACTTGGCCCCATGATTTACTTTGGCTGATTAAACATGAATGGAAGTGACGTGTGCTGCTTCCAAGCAGGGGTTGTTAGAGCCACAATAAGTTCTTTCATCCCCATTTCCCTCTGTCATGAGACCAGCCAAGGCTGCCCCTTCAGCTGTGCCTCAGACTGAAGAGAATATGGAGCAGAGGTGGAGCCAACCCCTGATGGGCATGAGCATGAACGAGAAGTGAGTCTCTGTAGTCATCAGCCACGGCTGCTGCAGAGTCATTTGTTACTGCAGTGTGACCTGGCAAAAGCTGGCTGACACATGTGCCATTCTAGTGGAATTTTCTCAAAAGCCTACCTGGGCAATGCTATTATTACCTCCACTAAAAGGTGAGGGTAGAGCTTGTGGGGTTAAATCACTTCTCTACAGTTTCATCACATGCATGCGATGTAGACCCAGTGCAGGAGGCAGGACTGGAGACCAGGCAATGTGACTCCAGAGGCCCTAACTTCTGTGCTGTCCTGTTCTGATGACAATCACCATACGGTCATGTGGAGTTTTCAACCTCAGTATCTCTGCTGCAAGTAGATCACCTTTTCCCACCCTTAAGAAAAAGAAAAAAACTGCCTCTAAAAACATTCAAGTAAAAGAACACTCAGATAAAATTGTAGCCAGAAATGCATATTTAAAAAATCATGCAAATGAGGCCATCAAACACACACACAATGTTAGAAAAGTTAATAGTGCAAGTGAATTTGCATTTAAAATGAGAATCCCATCTCTGATTAGCATTTTTCAGAATAACAGATTCCCTGGCATCCTCCGATCGCATCCAAGTAATCACAAAGGGGAGTGCACAGCAAAGAGAGGCTGGCGCACCAAATTAGTTCACTCTAGTAAATCAGATGTCAGATTTTAGTTAAAATCCTGATATATGACTGTGATTAACTGATTTCCACAGGGAGTACTGACAGTGGATGGCCACCAGCTGCCTGAGTCATCTTAAATCGGAATGTATCACCCCGTTACCTCCCAGATCATTTCTCCCCCAAACTAGCCGCTGTCTTCTAGCCGGTCTAGGAATTTGAAAAGCCAGGAAAGCAAGGCCTATGGAAGCCTAACAAACGCTCCTTCTGAAGTAGCCAAGGATCAGACCACGGTCAATAAAAGTCACCCCCAGGGACCTGGCCACTGCTAAGATCCTTCGCTCTCATGATATGCACCCATTAGACCAATGCTACCCCCCTCTCCCTGCTTGTTACTGATCCCAGTCTCCGAAAAGGGGAAATACCATTACTATCTCTTTCTGATGTGTGCAACAACAAGTTGTTCTTTTCATATAAACTATGAGGTGATGTGTTAATTATTGGAGAGACAACAGGATGGACACTATTTTATTTGCAGGTACGAAGAGGCCTTTCTATTCCAAGAGAGCCTCTCACAGATGCTCCAACAATGAGAAACTCAAACTCGATGAGCAATCACTTAGCAAGCTGCCGGCTCAGGAGTTTCCATGGTGCTTCATCACAGAGGAAAGGTCCTTATCACACGTTCTATTCCATCATTTGGCCCATCGAGGTGATAGGGGAATACTGTTCCAAAAGTTCTACCATTTTAATAGTGTTCAGGAAAAATGGAAAGTGTCAGCATCTACCAGGACCCTGCCAGGACTTTGGTGAAGCCAGATAACGGGCAATTTCATCAGAAGGGCTTAGCTTCTTTAAAATGGGACAGGCACTCTTTGGTATAGACCACAAGCTCTTGGTTAGCTGGGCTATTTTTAACAGTCTCTCCATTAAGCATCTGTAAATATCAAAACATTGAAAAATGAAAGAGTAAAAATTCTTAACGGCTCTTCTCCTTTTTACCAATGGATCTAAGATATTTTCGAAGGACTAAACAGCATGCAAGAGGTAAGAAGGGGAAAGAAAAAAAAGGGCCTGGATAATCCATAAGTTAGAGGCTCAAACTACACAATTCTGCATAATTGCGGATTTTGTTAGATTTGGACTGAAAGATAACTAATACACGTATAGCACTCTATAGTTTGCAAATATAGTTGGAAAGTCGTATGTCTCACTTGACCTTCATGGCAACCCTCATGCTGCTTCGACAATCAGCTGACACTCAGTGAGGCTAACTAAAGTGCCCAAGACACTGGGGTAGTGAGTGGCGCACCAGAATTAAAATCCTAGTATTCTGCTAAGATATCATGTGTATGCTCTGTGTAACTAGGAAAAATCTCATTTTTCATTTCTTGGTAAAGAGCGTTTTTTTAAAGATTGTATTTATTTACTTTTAGAGAGAAGGGAAGGGAGGGAGAGAGGAGGCAACAGCAATATGTGAGAGATATATCGATCTGTTGCCTCTTGCACCAACTGGTGACCTGGCCTGCAACCCAGGCCTGTGCCCTGACTGGGAATCAAACTGGTGACCTCTTGGTTCGGAGGCTGGTGCTCAATCCATGGAGCCACACCAGCCCAGGCAAGAGCATTTACTTTTATTTTTTCTTTTTCTTTTCTTGTTCTTTTTTTAATTGAATTTATTGGGGCGACACTGGTTAATAAAACCATATGCATGCCAAGTGTACAACTCTGTTAAACATCGTCTGCACACTGCATCGTCTGCACTCACCACCCAAAGTCAAGTGTCTTTCTACCACCATTATCCCCCCTTTGCTGCTTCCACCCCCCCCCACTCTCACCCCTCCTCCGCTCTGTCAATCCCACACTGTTGTTTTCTGCGTCTGTTGTTTGTTTGTTTTAGTTAATCCCTTTACCTCTTTCACAGAGATCCCAATAATCCTCCCCTCTGACAGCCACCAGTTTGCTCTATGTAAGTCCGTTTCTATTTTGTTTGGTAGTTTATTTTGTTCATTTGATTCCACATATGAGTGAAATCTTATGGCGTTTGTCTTTCTCTGACTGACTTATTTCACTTAGCATAGTACTCTCCAGGTCCATCCATGCTGTCACCAAGGGTAAGGTTTCCTTCTTTTCTATGGTCGAATAGTATTCTATTGTGTAAATGCAATACAGCGTTTTTATCCACTCCTCTACGGATGGGCACTTGGGCTGCTTCCAAATCTTGGCTATTGTAAATAACACTGTAAGAGCATGTATTTTTAAATGTTTAAGTCGACCACAAACTATATGTGGATGTGGCTGAGCAATTTTCCAGTTTCACTTGCTGGTTTCATTTACTACTCTTAGCAGGTCGGTAATGAAAAGCGCTCTATCTGATCCCGTCTAGTTCCGCTCGATTACATTCCAGACCCGGTGGTTTCACAGCTCTCGGGAGATAGGACGTCCTCACCATTAATCTCCCACTATCTCAGCAAGTTTTGCATTATGTTGTATCCTGTCCACCGGTACATGTTCTCTCCTTCTTCCTCCACCCTTTGGCTCAAAACCAAAAAAAAAAAAAACCCCAAAACCAAAACAACACAAAATCTTCAACTCTACACTTATGATGCAATCTCCCACTTACAGGAATTTTGCCATGTGGGAATTCTAAAGATTTTTCAAATAATGAAACATGTGAAAACAATCTAAACTCCCTCCTGGCCAGATAGCCCATTAATTAAATGAGAGTGACAGAGCGGATGTTCGCACCTCGTCTGGATCTGGAAGCAGCACTTAATCAAGTCCTGAGAGCTGTCGGACAAGGTCAGAGAGGCGGAGAAGCTGGCGAAGGTGCCAGGAGTGGAAGCAGTGGTTACCACAGGGAAAGCCAAACACATTGACAAAAATAATTTGTCCTAGCTTGAAGGGTCTGTTTTGATTTAAAACAGTACATTTACAAAGGAGGACGATCACTGAGAAGGAAAATACACAGAAGCAACATAATAGAGTAGATCAACCAAGTTCGGGTTCAAATCCTGATTTTGCTCATTTTTAGTTGGTGACCTTGGGCAAAATGAGTCCTTACTCTTAGTCTCAGTTTTTCTCATCTATGAAATGGGATCACAATGTCCCTCTAGTGTGGCAATTTTAAGAGGATCAAGTAAATTAACGTATTTGAAGGTATCTAGCATCTTCCTGGAATCCAAGAGTCACTTCACAATTTTGACTGAATTGTGTCCCTTGCCAAAATTCCAATGTTTAAGCTGTAACACCCCCCCCATATCTCAGAATGTGACTTTATTTGGAAATAGGGTCCTTTACAGAATCATTATGTTACGACGAGGTCATTAATATGAATTTAATCCAATAATCACTCAGGGGTCCTTATGCAAAGAGGACATTTGGACACAGACGCACACAGGGAGATGACTATGAGGAGACACAGGGAGAAGACAGTCACCGAGAAAACGAGGACAGAGGTCTGGAGTGCGTCCTTTCCTCACTGTCCTCAGAGAGAACCAACCCTGCTGACACTTTTATCCCAGGCTTCGGGAGCCCAGAATTGTGAGAAAACACATTTCTGTTGTTTAAACCCCCAGGTCTTGAGGACAAGCAGCCCCAGCAAACTGATAGTATCAAAAATTGTAAGTCTCTCCTTGCAAATTTGCGGTTTAGAATTTTGGGTGCAGCCACCACAAAATCTAAAGACAGGCATGGTTAAACATCACCCGTTTTAGGACTGCACTGGGGGAGATAGTGAATGCTTTCCATTTAATATGTTCTTGATCATTTCCATCCCTTGCATGTGTTTTTCTTTTAATAATGGTTTAAAAAAATAAAATGATGATAGTGCTTTAAATAAAAATTGTAAATATGAGGCCAAAAACCAAAACTGGTTAAATGTAATCGTGATATTCATATTCCTCAACTTTGTAAACTGGTTTCTCCTTTAATAAAGTGCAGAGTAACCAGAAATGTAGGCTTTGGAGTCATGCGAACTTGAGCTTGAATTCCAGGGTTAGCACTTACTACTAAAGTGATCTTGGGCTTAATTTGCTGAACTTTCCAAAGTCTCAATTTCATAAGTCACAAACAGTGATAAAATTTAGTGTGAAGCATTGCTATGACAATTAAAATGACAATGTATATTAAAACACACTGCGGAGATAATAAAACCTGAAATAAGACAAGCTATTCAAACATGTGCCAGGCACATCTTAAGCACTGAACAGACAATGTGGGTTGTTACAATCATTGACCCTCACGTCACTACCTTTTGGCTGCATAGTTGGCAATTCGGCAATACAATCAAACAGTAGCCTTGTATATCCAGATAACTACAATAGAGGCATTTAATAATTGGATATCTTTCGTGCCTGCAGGAACAGTGAGTCCGAAGCTGTACTATGCATCTGGATCACCTGTGCTCTATCATATTCCGATTCAGTGGGTCCGGGATGCGGTCCAGGGCTGTGTGTTTCCCATGAGCTCTCAGGGGATGTTGGTGCTGCCTTCTAGGGACCGCCCTTTGAGTGGCAAAGCCCCGGATGATAGAATGGCCTGGCAAAGGTATTTACAGATAGAAAATATTCATATTATAAATGTTTCTTATGTAAACAAGATGACAATAGGTTTGTACTGCTTGTTAGTGTTCAGAAATGATGCTAGATAATACACTAGTGCAGACAGGGTAAATGAGTCTTCTGTGAAGGGTGTGGTCTGGAGCTCTGGGCACTCTGTACCCTCAGGGACGTGCCCTTGGGCTGGCTGGTGGTTCTCCCTGTTCAACCCTCCCCTGCTCTCGGGTTCCTGTTTGATCACATGCCTTGATCACCTGCCAGGGATCACATGCCAGTCTGTGAAATCTGTCAGGTTAATTTACTCTGAGAGATCTGCTACCTCTTTGACAATTGTGCATTAGCATATTCTCACAAGTACTGTTATAATAAATCTGACTCACCTAGGACATGTAGGGGTGACATTTTAAATATTCCATGCCCATAATCCCTTTGTAAAGGAATTTAGCAACATCCAAAATGTACATTGAATTTGTCCTTTGAACCTGCTGTCCTACTTCTAGGACTCCATCCTGACGTAGAATCTTGTGGTGGGTGGAACAGTGGTGCCCCAAAGATGTCCCACGTCCTAACCCTCATCCATCCCTTGGGAAGAAGTCACTTTACATGGTGAATGTGGCTTTCACAGTTGTCATTAAATTATGGACATTGAGACAGAGAAATTATCCTGGATTAATTAAGTGGGCTCAAGGTCACCCATGGGAGCTTAAAGAAGAGGAGAGAGGCCGAAGGGGAGATCGGAATAAGGTGATGTTCTCCACCCACCGTGGCTGGCTTTTAAGATAAAGGAAGGGGACATACCAAGAAACTGGTTCATACCAAGAAATTCGTATCTTCTCCAGAAACTAGAAAAAGCAAGGAAAGGGCTCCTGCCCAGAGCCCCCGGAAGGAACACAGCCTGCTGACACCTTGGTTTTGGCTCATGAGACCAGACTCCTGACCTCTAGGACTACCCAACAGGAAAACTGTGTCGCTTCAAGCCACCAAGTTTGTGTAGCCTTGTTAGACAGCAGCAGAAATCTGACTCACCTTCCACAAATAGGAAATAGCGCACGCATAAGGCCATCGCTGTGGTTCTGTTCGTAACAGCTTGAAGTTTGGGAACAACCCAATGCCCATCATCAGAGACTAGCTGAACAACTACAGTGGCATATTCTCCACCAGTAAAACAGAATGAGGGGAGTCTCTGTTCCTAATGTTAGCTGACCATTAGGACATATTTTGAATGTGAAAAAGCAAGATACAGAACACTATGTATGGTACTTTACCTTCCATGTAGAAAAGATAGAGAAGTAAAAATATTATAGATATTCTATTTTTTTTCACCAAGAGAAACACTATAAAGATAAACTAGAAACAAATTAATAAAATGATTACTTCTCTGAGAATATTTAGTATATAATTTTGACTTTTGGACCATGTAATGTTTTACATATTCAAAAATAAAATTAAACTGTAAAATTATTTAAAATTAAATGAAAATGCTTACACTGGAGTTTCTGCCTATGAAACCTTCCCGAGACTTTTACTTCACTCCTAATGGAATTCTACCCCAAAGCAAATCAAATACCCAAGATCAAGAAACTGTTTCCTGGCAGAACTGTCAAAATTGTAACTTGCTGGTGGGCTACAATTGACCATTTCTGCTGAATTTGCTGTTCCTTAAATCATTTTCTGACATTATGGACCTGACAAGCGGTAATAGTACATGACTGAACAAAGCAAATAATTAGAGAGCAGCCCATTCCATAGGGTTGGCAACAGTGCCATCTGGTGGCAAAAACCTAATGCTGTAACTTGAAAACGGCAGAATTTTCTTTTTGAAGTGTTGCACTCTTTTAACTGAAATTACATTACATGTGGAGTGGAGGTGGGGGTTGCAACCAGAAATGGCTGGTAGCAAGTCCTTATCAACTCCTGTGTGAAACCGAGTTTACTCGTAACACAAGATATTTTTGGACTGCCATGCATTTGGCCAGCTTTTCCTCTAGGGAGCAAGCCCCGCCTTTCCCTGCCCCCTCCTCCCCCACCCTACTAACCCTAACCTGACTTTACCTTTGCATTCTCTCTCCTAAACTCCAAGGCCCTCCTTTTGTTTCTGTGACTTGTTTCCTGAGCCTACACAGCCCAGTCTACTACCTCTGTGACTCTCTAAATACATTTTCTCTGATGATTTGGTAAAAATTGAAGAATGCATTCCTTTGGAGCAAAATCCTTATTGGAACTTCATGCAACAAAAGCCAATTTTGAAAAATGTATTTTTGTGTCAATTATAGACATGCTAAATCTATTTTCATGGTTTTTTATAATCTATATTATAAAGATGCAGCCCATTTCAGTTTAAACAAACAGCCAGGATGATTTATGAGAGGGTATCTGATTATTCCGGTTTCTAAAAGGGAGATGATAGAAACTGCTAGCACATCCCAAGAGGGTCTAAAGTCATCAAATAAAATGTACCTTAACTGGTTTTCTTCCTTCCTCAACCAGTACGAATGAATGAAAATTATTTCTGTACCCAATTTGTATCAAAAATCAATGTTCTCTTTCTTTTATCATGACCATTTACATATTCAATTGAACTAAAGAAGTGAGGCAATCAAGCAATTTGGGGTAAAAATACCTTTGGTTTTAAAGTTGTAACATAATTGTCATAAAAATATCATTTGGATAATTGCTTCAATTGTACTAACACCCAAGTTGTTATGAGACAAACCAATGCATTAAAATTTTTTTTTTTGAAATTTCAAAACCTGCTACACACCCTGCGCCACTCTGATTCGGACTCTGGGAGGGATAGTGGAGATGCCAAAGAGATGGAGAAGCTTCTTTAAAGTTGACCGGAGAGGCTGCCTTTGTTCATCGGGTTAGGAAATGGGCCACTAGTGGTATTCAGGGTGGGATCTGTGGCTCGAGGGAATGGCTTGAAGTTCCAAGGACGATGAGAACATAACCGGAAGGAGGAGATGCAGGCGCGAAGGTGAACACAAGGGAGAACAGAAACAGACCCGTGTAAGGATGGAAGAGAGAAAGGGAAGGATGGTAGGGGAGGATGATCAGTTGTGGACGTTCACGGGCCACTTTCTCATTAACAAAAGACAGACTGCAGGTATTTCACCTTACTCTCTAGCCAACGCAGAGTTATAAGTGAGGGTGTGGTTCAGGAATTACCATCTCTCCTTGCATCCGCTATCACCTTTGCCGAGGACTTGCTCATCACATGCACGACGTACAGAGGGCATCTGGCGGCGCTGGCGATGGTGATGGCTCTCAGGGTGGCCTCGGCCTCCACCGCTTCTGGGCGGCACAGCTCGTGGCCCTCGGGGCCCGTTATCCCCAACGCCAACATCTTCTTCTCTCCCTGCAAAGGCAGCAGGAACACACACATGTGCAAGGAACACTTACTAATGATAAAGGCCGTTATCATACTGCAAAAGAAATACACAGACCGACTTTCAGATCGATCAGGTATAGGTGTGTGTGCGTGTATTTGGTAAAAATAAATTTAATTCTCTGATGGTGTGTGTTCATTTTTCAAAGACATATTTCACAATTAAATTATTTTGATTGAAAAGATGAAAATAATAAGAGGTTAGTTCTAATCATTCTTTGAAAAGCAGTGTTTACATTTAAGACTTATGATGGTTCAAAACAAAACAAAATAAAACAAAGCAAAAATATGAGAATCCCCAGTATTAGATCTTGGTTGAAGTGATTCACGGTAATATATTATGTAGTTAATTCTACTTGTTACTGAGTCAGTCTTCTCCGCTCTCTCCTCCCACCCACTGAATGGTTTTGGACCAGGCATTTCCGCTCTCCAGTCGGTTCCCTCTTTCTGACTAAAAAGGAAGAAGTCAAGGCCACGAGTAGGAAAATGGCGTGCCCTGTGTCCCACAGCTGGCAAGTGGGAGAGTCAAGTGTAGACCCTGGTCTGTTTGAGTTCACAGCTCACGCTCTCCGCCCTTCATCCTCCACTGCCACTCGGCCATGAGCCTCCATCTCTGACTTTAATGGGAACTGAGCCCAGGGAGGGAAAAGATCAACTAATGTAAAGGGTACGAGACAGCTCTTTAAATCTTGCAGATGGTGCACCGTCCCCGCATTAAGGATGGAGCTCACACGAGAAACAAATATCATCTAGATTTCTCCAGAGCACTTTTCAATACCCAGTTTCTGAAAAGAGTGGAACTTTAAACAACTACCTAACACACTGCGTAAATCCTGGGGTCAAGCTGATGTCCGCACTCCGGCATTCCGAACCAGCAGCCTGAGCTGCCCCCGCCCGAAAAGTGCTGGGCTACCCAAAGAAACATATTTGTACTTTCTAATAAAACACGTATCTAATATAATAGCTGGTTTAGAAAAGGAAAATCCATATTCAAATGCATATACCACTTGAATAAAGCTCAGCGCACGGACTCAGCAAACAAAATTGTTTCCCAAACTCAAAAAAATTAGTTTCTTTCACTGCATTGCCTGAAGTTGACCTACTTAGGGCGAATCATCGTCACCTTAGAAAATTACGGTCGTTTTCATTCCTGCAGATTGGAGCTTTGGAAGGCAACTGTACCTCTGCGATCAGGTCTCCGTTTTCCGCGTGGACCTGAGCGATCGCGCCGACCTCCTTGCACCGAGAGAAGGCGGCATAGAGCTCCGCGTCTCCTACCATGTACACGTCTTTGTAGGCCATGAACATCTTGAAGGAGTTCACACCTTTTTCCTGGGTAAGGACTTTCATTTCTTCTTTAACCTAAGAGGAAATAACAACAAGAACGTGTCACTGTTTCATTTAAAGATAATTTCAGTATTTTTCAAAATGTTGCATTTGGAGAATTAAGAAAAATAAGGACAGCTTAACTCCGGATGAAAAGCAATTAAGGCCCCCTGAGCATTTCTTCCCGTTAGACCCCATTTCGTCTGCTGCTACGAGACTTTGAAATTATGGAAGAGTTCATAGTTTTCCCCAAAGTACTTGGCTTCTATACTTAGATATAAATTCTTAGCATTTATCTCCCAATATGAGGAAATTATTTTGTAAAGTAAAGATAAAGCCCTGTGGCAGCAACAGAAACAATAGTGTCCCTAGAAGGAATCAAAGCTCATGTGAGATAAAGGGCTTAGACTCAAATCGGAAACCCACAGGATGAGTGAGTTCCCAGAGAGGAAGTAGAGGGTGCAGATCTGCCCGTTGGTAGCTCCTAGACAGTGACAGATTCTGGACCGAGTCGAGTCCAGGAAGGCTGACGATCCCCAGCAAACCCCCAGAGGCTGGTGGGAGGCATGGGACAGATGCTCCCTCACAGCCCCCAGAAGGAACCAACCCTGCCCACACCTTGATCTTGGGCTTCTAGTCTCCAGAACTGTGAGAAAATAAATTCCTGTTGTTTAAGCCCCTGGTTTGTGGGACTTTGTTATAGCAGTCCCAGAAAACTAGTACACTTACTGAAGAAAATCTGTATTTTAACAATATTCACCGGGTAACCATTTCCAGATTAAAGTGTGAGAAGTGCTGGCAAGGGCAAACATCATCACTTCTGCTTCAGTAGAATTAAGAGGGGAGGGAGGGGGAGAGCAGAGACAAGGAAGACAGGAAGACCCTAAAATCACAGAAGAGATCAGGTGCATCACTCAGAATGGCATTTTTGGAGAAAAATTAACTTTAACTGTGGACTATGAACCTTGCTATTATATTTGCTGACCTATCTGTTGAAGACCGATGACTTATTTTATATTAACTTGATGTCTAAAGCCTCCCAATTTTTAGGGGGAGATGGAGGCATAAGTGACCCGGTAACGTCAAATAAAGTCACCCTTGTGCATTCTTCCTGGTAAGGAGATTTCTGATTGAAGTCCAATGTGGGAAAATCATGTTGATTTAAATCACAAGTAACAATGTATTCTAAATTTATATGGGGAGAAATGGACACACTTTAGCCTCTCTCAAAACTGTCTTCCTATCTCTACCATGGTATCGTTTCTGCCATGGCATCAGCAATTAGCAGGCGCGGAGGGTTGCTTTAAGCTGCATCACGAAATGATCTGAGCAGGTGGTGAGACCAGCAGAGCCGGCGAAAGCGCCAGGTCAGGAGAGGGCTGGGAGGAGGCCTTGAAAACGTTCCTGGTCTTTCCCTTCCTCTTTGGAGTGCACAGGTGGGTGGGCGGCAGGGGCCAAAAGTGGGGAATGGAGGCATCTAAATGGAAGTGTCCTCAGTTTTTCTCCAAAAATTCCACATCTCTAATTAAAGTCCTAGACTATGGAAAAATACCATTTACAAGATCAGGGCAGGTTGAAGTTGAGAGAAAGGGAGACCAGAACTTTAAAAAAAAAAATGACATGTCATGAATTAAATATTAGGAAAGTGTATGGTGAATTATTATGAAGCATTTTTGCTATTATCTGCATATGATTTAAAATTTTTTCATTAAAAAAATGACAATACTTCACAGGAATCAAAATTCAAAAAGTACGAAAGAACGTAGAGTCTCCCCGCACCCCCCCCCCCCAGCCTCGCAGCAGTTCCCTGTGTTTTGACGTGGCCCAATCTCTTGATCGTGCACAGAGCAAGGACTAGGGAACTAAATGGAGCAACCAGACCGCGAGGAGGCTCACCTGGTCACTCCACCATGTCACCGCCACGTGAAGGCTGTAGTCGCAGCAGACTTGGGGGTCCGCCCAGCTCCGCCAGGTCTCGAAGGCCTCGATGAGGGAGCTGCCTTTCCGAGGAATGGCAAAATCGATGATCATGGTGGTGCCCCCCGCCAGGGCGGCCTGGAAGCACACGAGGGTGTCAGCAGGTGAGACGTCAGCTTTCCGTTTAAGCCATTTATCTCCGTGAACAATGTGCATTTATTTGCCAGCACTTGGGTGCACTTGGTAGGCCCCGGAAACTGCCTTTAAAAGACCCAGAGGGGCGTACGCAGACTTTCCATAAACTAAAGTTTGAAGCCCTAGGACTAAGGACATAAAGAAGAAGTCACATGGAGCCTGGTAGGAGGGGTGGAGACGTGGAGTGGGCTGGTTCCACACCCACGGGTGGCATGGTGGATAAAAATCAGAAGACCTGTCTTGGCTGCGTAGGACCCCTCTGAGGGGGGGGCCCCCACCAGGACCCCCAGCTCAGAGTTCCAGTACCAGGGAGAGAAGTCCGCATGACTACTGGCTGTGAAGACCAGCAGGGATTGTGGCTCAGTGAGACGGGGGTAAGGGGGTGGGTGACTCTGATGGGGGTGACTGAGAGGGCGGCAGATGAGGGGACGGGAAAGGGGAGCACGAGTTCCGCGTGGAACATCCCGGTGGGAGTGGCTCGGGCACGTGTCTGACATACAGGCAGAACCGCACGCAGACCGGATGCTGAGCAGCAGTCAAGGGCAGGGGAAAGCCGAGGCAGCCACCCTGGAGAGCGTGCCAGGGGTCCCGGGCGTGGGAAGAGCAGCGAGACGTGACAACAGGAACCGCAAGAACACGCTCCAGAACATGCACGTAGCGTGAAAACAAGGCAGGACTGAGCCCAGGGAAACGAGCACAGTGGCTGCTTCTGCGTGACATGGTTTCACGTTGTTTCAATTTCCCTCCAGTTACATTTTATTTTCAGTTTTTGCTAAATCTTCTACAACAATGCATAACTTATGGAAGGAGAAAGGATGCTTTGCAGACGTACACATGTGCATGCCGTGTGGATAAGTACACAGACTGTTGATGGTCTCCTTACTAGACGAACATGTGTGATGGCCAAAGGCTCATTTTTCTAACACTACAGCAGATGGAAATTCCTGGGGCTCCAGTGTGAAAGCTCCTGAGTAAGATTTATCACAAACGCTCCACCTCCCTAATTAACGAGGAGCAGGACGGGGAGGGGCGGGAGCAGCCAGTTGTCTTTTCTCTGTTCCTGCTTGTTCTCTTTCTCTTGTCCACTTTTCCTGCCTCTCCTCACCCTCCCAATGGGGATGAACTTAGAGAAACTCTACTGCATGGGAGGAAGGCCTCAGCCAGCATGGGCAAATGGATAAAAAACGGAACCTGCCTTTTTCCAAACCATTGGGACATTAGCCACTAGCTCTAGGGATCTCAGCTGCTGCCCTGGGTCTCGGCAAACAGCTGCAGGCACTGTCTGGCCCGAGCTTCCTCTTGAACCTCTTGCTTCCTCTTCTGGTCTTTCTGGTGGCCCTGGGTCCTTTGGTTGCCCAAAGCTATCTCAGACCCCTGAATATTAGTTCGAGATCTGAAATGTTCCCTTCTTTAGACTCGAGCCAAGGAGCCGCAGGGTGGACCTGCAGAGCTGTAATCCCAAGTGGATGCTGCCCAGCCCCGAGGTGGGAAGGAGACCCACTCCTCTCTAGGGTTACTTGCCTCTTAAAAGGGGTACTTGTTTAAATACCCAATTCTGGGCTAAGCATTTTATACTCATTAGCCCATTTAATTCAGCCTTGCTATATCTGGAGAGGTGGGGACTGCTTTCCTATTTTACAGTTGAGAATACTGAGGCTCAGAGATGTCAAATGACTCTCCAAGGTCACACAGCTGGTAAATTCTCATTGCTCACAAGGAAGAAGATTCAACTTTGAGCCAGAGGTCTGACATTCAGGTTGCTGTGGGCGTCCACCCCCTGCAGACCACCCACCCCCTTCTCCAATCTCCCACTTGGTGAGATCTGCTTTCTGGCCTGGGGCCCCAACCCATTAAAGGAATCATTATTTGGACAGAGGCAGAGGTTGGCAAAATCAATCAACCATTTAGGAAGCCCAAGCTGTACAAAACAAACCCCATCATCAGACTCTGAAATGCAAGTTTATTAAGCTCATGTGATGTGCATCGCTGTGACAATTGCTAATGAAGTAACATCCCCCTAAAAGATTTATCAGGAAAGGCCCATTCACATAGCTATTTGCCTTCTTTGCCTTCACACAGCTATCTCCCACCAGGGAGTCAGCTTTGTCCAGCAAAGCGGCTGGTTAGAACACCACAGGCCCAGCCCACTCAGATATTTTCAATATTCTTTCATTTCTTTCAATATCAGATGCTTCTTGGTTGACTTCACAAAACGTTCCTCCGGCTTTACCTAACATTTGAAGAATGAAGAGAGTTTGGAGAGAGAAGTCGTAAAGGGGGACAATGTCTTTCAAATTTCTACATAAAGCCTAACTGTTTCCTTTGTCTTCACTGCTGATTGACTTCACTCCCCTTTTACATGTAGTTTGCTAAACAAAATACGTTTACCTTTTCTAATCTGGGCTCATAAATCAATTCTTTCAGCTCCTAATTACCTTGGCTATTCTCCCTTGAAAGCCTTCCAGTTGATCTGAAATCTTTTCCTGGGAAGACAGCATGTGCCGTCTGAGGTGCAAATATCAGGGCATTTAAATAGCGATCAGCTCTGATGGTGGGGTCGACATTTCATGCAACATAAGACTGTATTTAGGAATGCATTTGATGGTACAGCATGACCGAAAGCATCCCAAGCAGTTTCTGGTGTCATTGAATTTTCCTTTCTAAGTTCATCCTGAAACAAGTGACTTTATTTCACTAAAATCAGTCACAGAACTTGCTCAACCCCAGTAAAGTGAAAAGGAATCCAACAGTGCACTTGAGCTCCAGGGAGAAAAACCCTGGCTGCATTTCCAGCTTTCTCAGAGGCACTGAGACATATAAAAACAAGCTTCACGACCCCAATTTATGTTTCAAGGCCAGAGTGTGCTCAGCGTTGTAAAGACGTGGTCTCTCCATGGGCATCTCCTATCTCCCCAAATTTGAAATATTAATTATGCCACCATCCACCCAACTGTGCACGAACCAGACTTAAGAGTCCCCCTTGAACTTTACTTCTCCTTTCCCTACCTCCCCAAATCCAACCCATCAGCAACCTTCCCACCCCAGGCTACCACCTCCATTTTCTGGGAGTCTCTTTACTTCCTGCGTCGCTGCCTCCCTGCCCAGCACCACCTTCACGTTCTGACTAGATCAGCAACCTCTGCAATGTCACCCTGTCCCCAGCCATGCTTGCCACTTCCAATCTTTCACTGACTTCCCTTTGATCTTAGGATGAAGGGAAAAAGCAATTATTATATGTCCCATAGGGTCTCTGCATGATCCGAACTTCAGATATTTCCTCAGCTGTGTATTGAGTCCCTCCCCTCCCGTCCCATTCCTCCCACTTCAGTGACACTGTCCCTCTGTCTCTTGGGAGCCCTCTGAGGCCCTCTCTGGGTGATGTCATTCGTGCCCTTCCCTCCCCAGTTCCTCCTGTCTCAGTCCAGTGAAGCTTAACCCAGGCATCTTCTAGGGAACATTTGTATCAACCCCCCAGAATCTCAGATGTAGTTTCATCTCTGCGTACCCTGTGCCCATTGCAGAGCCTGCTACATGAATATTCTTTAGATGTTTAAGGGAGAAAGGAAGGGGGGGACCAATGAATTTCCTCCAAAGCTATGAGTTGGAATAACCATGATGGTTCCCTGTTCCAACAGCAGAATAGAAAAGCAGTGTAATTGCCTGTTAATTTGAGATTTCATTTGTCAACAACATTGCCAGTCCTAGCCTGGATGCTTCTATGAAAATGTTAGCATGGAATATCGATTCTGAGCACATTTGAAAGCAGAATGCTTAGTCTTGTCCAAAGCCCATTACCCGACCAGTGCTAACGAAGACTTTTAAGACAAAAGAACTATACTCTATTTCTTTGTCCATGTCTCAAGTAATTTCTTCTTTTAAAAAAGGTTATATTTTGTCTTATTTTAAGCTAATTGTTAAGGCCTTTGCTTTTGTCTATGAGTAGATCCTTGGGGTTCAGGAACACGTGACCATCACCAGAACATGCGGTTTCCCTTTCAGATAAATAAAGCATGAGTGAAATATCGAAGTGTCTTCCCTCAGTTTGTTACTCGACGTGTGAAGACAGGAGCCTGAAGTTGTGAGGAGTCGACTTTGGGTGATTGCCAAAGCTCACTTCGTGAAACAACCCGCTCAGGAACACAGTTTGGTGGTGCAAGCATTATGACTGGCGACTTCATGCCAGACCTCAAATGTTCACTCCAAAAAGTCACAGTCATCACAGTTAAGTCTCCAAGTCCCAAAGTCTCTCGTCTATAATGCATCAGCACCAGGATGCACTGGAGCCTGCGGCCTCTAGTTGTCGCTGTTGAGCACCAAGACCATCGTTTTCATCTCTATCACCCCAACCACAATGCCGGACGGTTAGTGGGTTTCCAAGAAATCTTTGTCAACTGGGTTAATATAACCTAACCATCAACTTGAAATATTCTTAGTTTAGGGTTATTCTGTATTAGACAGCAGTGACAGGGTTCGGAATATGCCACTGTGTCATAAAAATCATCCTGAGCTGAAGGAATTTGAGAATAGGCTCCCCCACCCCACCCCCTGCAAACTCCCTTATTTGCCGAAAAGCAGAGCCTCCCGAAGGAATCCGGTTGCATCGTCTCTTACAAGAAGGGTCACCATTGGGGAGACTGATGCGTCACCTGAGACGAGAAGCTTGAACCATCCATTGAAAGCCTTTGTCACAAAACTATCATATCTCATGCTCGCTTCAGCAGCACATGTACTAAAATTGGAACATACAGGGAAGATTAGCATGGCCCCAGTACAAGGATGACATGCAAATTCAAGAAGCATTCCATGTTTTAAAGGTTAAAAAAACCTATCATATGTCCCATCTATTTCCTAAAGGCCTATTTGACTTTTCTAAAGGTCATTTTGTTTCCTGATGAGAGCCTTTCTCCTCCACCCTTTCCCCTGCGAAGTCAGTGTGTAAGTCT